GATCAAATGAAAGAGCGGGTCGAGAAATGGCATACTAGGGCCTCTAAACAAGACAAATGTCTCTAAAGATGATGTCTGTTTTCAATTGAAAAGCGCAATTGTGACAACATTTTCCAGTGGGTTCTAGGAGTCTCCCCTGGTTCAACACCATCTTTAGAGGTCCTAGCACGCCATTTCTCGACCCGCTCTTTCGTTTGAGCTCAAAAAAACATTCATATCTTGTCTGATATCTTTGCTACAAACTCGGGTCTACAACTCGGGCCTTCAATTGAAGGCCCGAGTTGTAGGCCCGAGTTTGTAGCAGCGATGTCAGACAAGATATGAATGTTTTTTTGAGCTCAAATGAAAGAGCGGGTCGAGAAATGGCGTGCTAGGGCCTCTAAAGATGGTTTTGAACCAGGGGAGACTCCTAGACCCCACTGGACAATGTTGTCACAATTGCGCTTTTCAATTGAAAACAGACATCATCTTTAGAGACATTTGTCATCTTTAAAGACTTCTACACGCCATTTTTCAAGCCGACCGTTCATTTGAGCCAAAAATAACATTCATATCTTGTCTGACATCTCTGTTGCAAACTCTGGTCATCAACTCTGGTTTTCAGTTGAAATTGGAATTGTTAATTTACACAATAATAGGAGTGCATTGACGATTTTTTCTTAACTCGCAAAAATCTTCAAACAATTTGCTACCGATTGGTGATAAANATAGGATTGCATTGACGTTTTTTTCTTAACTCGCAAAAATCTTCAAACAATTTGCTATCGATTGGTGATAACATTTTTTGGAAATAATGAAATGGAGGGGATAACGCCTTTTTTTCAGAGGTGATTTTTCAAAAATTTATTTTAAAAAAAGTACTAACTAGCAAATGTTTTTAATTAGCTCGTAATTTTCTTCAAAACTACTTCACTGAGGAAAAAAATAAAAATTTGGAATATCTATACATGAGGGGCTAATTGATCGGATCTCAACTTTTTCTATGGTCTCTGAAGGCGTGTGGCTCCATCTAGCCGCAGGCGGACTACTACAAGTTATTAAAATCTCTCGACGAGGCTCTTCATATAATCACGATCGAACTTCACTTACAAGTAAGTTCGTTTGATCGTACAAATATACTGTTTTTGCGTTCCATTACTATTTAATCACTAACGAGATTTTATCATCGTTCAACCATTTACAGCGCTTTTTATAAATCTTTTGGAAACCTTTCACCGAACTTCAGAAAAAAATGCATACAAATGGCCTCATGAAAATGAAATTTTGCGAGTTATTGAATAATGATAAAACGCAGAAACTATATATTTTTTCACCTTAATTCATTCAATATTTGGCAGAACCGTAAAAAAATGTAGCGAAGCTACCTTTATATTTATTTCACACCATTTCAATGGATTGTTTTCGAGCTCGGCTTAGCAACCGAATTTCGTACCGTGACACGTGTCGCCGATATATCGCTGTCCTTGTCGCAAAACATCCTCGATCGGATGATCTAATACCGTTGTCGCGGGAGCTCACTCTCGTTCCAGCTCTCATGGTGTAAACCAAAGTTACTTTCGCTGTGAATAAATTCAATTCGATATATATACGTTAATTCCGAGTATTTTACGTTACAAAACCCTTCCACCGAATCCCACAAAAAACATGAAATTTGGTTAAATAAGGGCAATGCATCTTCAATTATTTCTCAGTTGAACATTTGAGGGATATTGCAATAACACTTATGAGCTGTCTTGACGCATTTCTACAGGTGTTTTCGACCCTTACAAATTCACTAATGCCGACATGTGTAAGATCCACGCGATAACGTACGAGGCATTAATGGAGGATGAAGAGAATCAGGTGCGAGGTTTCGTTCATTTTGCTGATGGAGCCGGTGTTAGCTTCCCACACTTGACCTTATTCACGCCTAGAGAAGCTGTTCGTATTGTAAAAAATGGAGAGGTAAGTTAAGAAAGTTAAGAAATTAAAGTAAGTTAAAATTTTTTTTTTCCATTTCTATAATTACTGTGAGACTGAATATCAATATTTTATATATTACTCCCCTCGTTCTAACACGATATTATCGAAAGAGATGAAACGGTTTGTCAGGTATTAGTTTTTTAATGATTGTTATATGTGTCTTAAAATTATTTACTAATGAGTGATTTTATTTTGTCATATTTTTATTTAAATCTACGGAGTAGAGGAATAATTCATCAATTATCCTCGTGGAAATCGGGTTGACAGGCTCGGTCATATAATGACGTAGCATTTCAAAAACTGTAAAAAAAATTTTTTTTACATAAATTGACGGAATTTAATATATGACAAAATTTACAATAAACAAATGTCATATGTGAAATGATGTCAGATTTTTAATGTCGTCATTTGTCAAATGATGACATTTTTTAACAAGTCTCGAAAAATGTCAAAATATGACATAATCTGTCAAATAATGACATGATGTAACATATGATGGCATACTTTGATAGACTCTATAGTATTCAATATGACAGAATTTGCCATAATATGACCTTATTTGTCAAATAATGACATAATAGAGTGTATGATATCATACTTCGATAGATCCTATGGTATTGCAGATGTCATACTTTATCATTTAATTACATTTTCGAACATCCATGCATCGAACATCCTAAAAAAATGTTGACATATGGCATCGCCTGTGAAAGAATGATTATGAAGAATCAAAATGACGATAATGATAATGACATTATATATAGAACATACGATGTCATTTTTGGTCACCTTCAGATATATTGAATTTATTACGGTTTGTCTTGGAATTACATTTTCAATGAAACATTTATTCACTTATACTGTAAGTATATTTAAAAACTATTAAATTGTGACAAGTTATTGAGCTATTCAAACATTTAAGTCCAAAAAAAATTATGTAAAAATTCAATTTAAAAATATATTCGTCAAAACAACTTTCAAAATAATACGTTGCGGATAGGAACACGCATCGGCACGCCCCAACATCCGCGCAAGTATTAACGTGCTGCCCACTTCCCTCCCATCCATGATAACTCTTTATCTATCGCAGTTAGGAGAAAAAGTTATATGATAATGTTTGAGATTGAAGCTAAATTGAGATGCCGGTTGGGGAAAAGTGGGATTGTGAAAGGAGGTGGAAAATTAAAACACGCGGAATTATAAAACCACACTGTTGATGTACTTTATTGTGGAATAACCCACGCGTCTTGATAAATTAATAAGGTTACACTATTGAGTTGCTCGACAAAGTCAATAAAAATGATGGTTTGAAAAATGCACTGCACTTGAGATTCTCTCGATATTGAACTTGATGATTGACTCAAAATAATTGATAGTTAACTCGGAATTAATTGATAATTGAATTGAATTAAATAAAGACGCTATACAAAGCGCTAGACTCAAATGTATCGCGTTGATGTACTCCGGTGATGTACTCGATTGAGCGGTTACGGCGATACAGTACTGTGATTAGAGTGACTCTCTCGGTGGCTAGAGCGATACTACTTCTTTTTCGGCGATTTTCTTCGTAGCTGACCGTGATCCCGACGGGTCCCGAAGTTTCTCGAGAATTTCGTTGAGCCCGGTGACCGTTTGACTAGTTTGAATAGCTGAATTTCAAACAGATAAAAAATGTGTATTTTTACATAACAAACATCTTTTGTTTGAAATTTTTTTCTCTATTTGCAACCGTTTCCATGATATAATCGATTAAAGAATAAAAATGTTATAAATAAATAGACCTGACCACAACTTGTAAAAATCGACATCGCATTCGGATTCAGCACTTCCGTTAACGTAAATTCCATAGATAAAATGTAATTTTTTTCCTAGCTCATACAGAAATAGGGTTAGCGTAGGGCGTACTATTTCTATTTCCACTCTAAAAAATAACTGGAAACCTCTTTTTAGTAGCATAAAATTTTTGTAAATATTTTCAGATGTTTAAAATGGGGCTTTCGTTAATTTACTTCAAAAATCGATAAAAAATTAAAGAATTGATTAAAAAATCTGAAAAAAAAAGTCAGGGTCGATTTTTCGTCGAAAAAAAAAATCATGAAAAAAAAAATGAAACGAATCTGAGATGGTCAGGGTTTAAACCGGTCGAATTGACATGGAGCGCCCCATATGTAAATACCCTTGTAGAATATGAAAAAAATTACAGATGCACAGAGAAAAGAAGTGGAATAGCTTTAGAAAGAAATTTCTAAATTTTAGAAAGAAGTTTCTAAATTTTAGAAACCGTGGTTTCTAACCTTCAGGTTTGTAAAATCTAGAAACTTTTTTCTAAGTTTTAGAAGAAAATCGTTTAAAATTAATGATTAGAATTGGGATTAATTTTAAACCAAAATATACTTGATTTTAGAAAAAAAAAATATTTTCTAAAATCTAAATTTTTTTTTGAATTTTTGAGCGGGAATTTTGCAAAACGGGTGGTTGTGATATCCGGGGGGGGATTGTAAAGTGGGGGGGGTTTTGCAAAGAGGGGTGTTTTATGAAAGGGTGGGTTATCGTTGAGGTTATGCAAAAATATCTCCGAAACTAAGGGAGATAGCGAATTCTTACGAAAATTTGGGAGGTGGGGGTGAGTGGGGGGTGTGTGCTGAGAATTCGCCATCGAAAAAATTGAGTCGGTCTTTTTTTCAAAAATATTTCCTAAACTAATCGAGATAGCGATTTTTTATGAAAATTTGGGGGGAGGGGGGAGATGTGTATTGAGAATTCACAACCAAAAAAATTGAGTCGGTGATTTTTTCAAGAAATCTCGAAAACTAAGGGAAATAGTGATTTTTTACGAAAATTTGGGCGGGAAAGGGGGGGGAGGGAATGTGCATTGAGAATTCACAACCAAAAAAATTAAGTCGATCATTTTTTCAAAAATATCTCTGAAACTTGGGGAGATAGCGAATTTTTATTCAAAAATTAGGGGTGGAAGGGGGAGGCAAGCTGTATTGAATTCTCAATGTATAACACACGCCCTGTCCCCTAATTTTTTAATAAATTTTTTTTCCCAATTTTGCAGTAAAAATTCGCTATCTCCCTTAGTTTTGGAGATATTTTCGAAAAACTCCCCGACTCAATTGGTTGTGAATTCTCAATGCCACCCTCCCTTCCCCCCCCCCTAATTTTCGTATAAATTCGCTATCTCCCATAGTTTCTGAGATATTTTTGAAAAACTCAACGACTCATGGAAATTTCAGTGAAATGTTCAAGAGAAATGGAGCGTAGGAGGTTTGTGAGAATACCAAAAAAATGTGAATTCAGTAATGAAGCGGTAATCCGCGTTAAGTCGATTTTGACTACTGGTCAGTTTTTGACAAATATCGCAGAATCTAAAAGAGATAGAAAATTTTTTGTCACGACCTTGTTTGAAAGGCAGCTAAAATCTCCATATTATTCACGGTCGACAACCTCGGCCATCTTCGAAAATCTCCGTGACCCTTCGGGTCAACGGACACAGGTCAGCGCGGCACCCGGTGAGAAAAACGAAAAGTAATATCCATTCGTATTTCAACGAGTTCACATCAACTAAGTAGTAGTCTCTCAACTAGTCCACAAGTATTAAGTAGAACTCAACGAGTAATTCAACGTGTACTAATTCACCGAATAGTTATTAACGAGTATTAATCAACATTATTAAGAGTTCATATTGAGCAGTCGTTCAGTTGTGTTTCAGTATCGTCACGATAATGACATAGCCGATTCAGTTAAATAGCATTCAAAATTTAATAGCTTTGTTCAGTACATCACCTCTGTTGATTAAATTCAGTTTGAATTCAGTGACTCACCAAATTAACTTGCAGAGACAATTATCAGTGAAATTAGACTATCACCAGTGAAATTACATATATGTTACCAAAGACGTGTACATAGATTTTCGACTAAAGTGGTTCGATCCCACAAATAAAGTGTGAATTTTAAAGCCGGCTCATCAGTAATTTTCCCAACATCTCCCTCCATATTTTCATCCCACATCCACCCTAAACCTAGTCATTTTCCAAACAGACCTTTTTTGTAGAGCCCGTTGAGGGTTATAGATAAGGTCAAGAAAAAAAAATTTCTATAAAAAAGTCTAAAAAAAGTTTCTGAAAGGTAAACAAGCGAGTGTATACATGTCGATGATTCAACCGTTGCCAAAAAGCAATGGCCAAGGAATTCCAAGGATATTCATATTTTGTTCTTGGAGCAAAGTAAATCCAAATAATGTTGCATATTATCTGGATTCTTTCCTTGTGATGTGAGTCACTCGGTTTGAAAAAATGATTAAAATCCCCCAAAAACAGAAACAAAATTTTTTTTTGAAAAAACCGGTCAAGAGTGCCAAGTTTATGAAGTTGAACTTGAAATAAGGAACAGCGCCAAGTTCATGGAGTTGCACTTGTGATTTTGAAAAACCACAGAACTTTTCATAACATCTAGAAACAATTTCAGCTTTTTTCTACAGTCGGCTTGTACTGTTGCAAATTTTATAAGTTTGAATTCATCAATGCCAACTCAATATTGTCTATTCCTGTGAGTTACGGAGTGGGTACGACCATAAAAAGTGTGGTTATCCACACAAAGTCAACAGCGGCTACAGCGGGGACAGTGGGGTACAACGAGATTCTAAGATGAATCGGACTGTGAGGCAAAATGGGGTAGTAAGGTGGATTGGGGGAGGAGGGATGGGTGGGGGTGTAGCGGATGTGGTGATTCTACACTACAATGACAACACACTATCTTTCTTAACTAACACTTTAATAAGTCGAATTAATATACAAGATGTCTGGTGTGAATATATACATGTACTGTGATAAGTCCCGAGGAATGCTCGGTGAATGCGTAATGAATATTTGTTGGTTACTGATCGGTTGTCGTAGCCCGGGGTGATTCGGCCGGGCAGGTAGATGGCCGAGGGCTCACATCCCATCGAGTGGAAGGCACCCCAGGAAGAGGCATTCAAC